CCTTCCTCTATCATCAAAGCCAGTAATGTTGCATCTCTATGATCATTCTTCTGTAGTTGCATCTCACTCTGATTCTCATCTTCTGCTTTCCTCTTTGACTTTTAAGGATGCTTGTGATTACATTGTGTTCACCTGGATAAGCCAGAATAATCCCCTTACTTTTGAGGCCAGCTAATTAGCAACCTTAAATATATCTGCAAACTTAATTTCCTTTTGCCATCTAATCTGATATGTTTATAGGTTTTGGGGAGTAGGATATGGACTTGGGGGATGGCATTATTCTGGCAGTAAACTGCAATGGTTTGTAAGCACTAAAGAAGGATGCTGAATTAGCACAATCTAGTTAATAGAAGGGAAAGTTTATCAGAACTGGTTTCAAGCTTTCTATTGGATTGCTGGGAACAGGAGCCTTATCAAGAATCCACTCCCAGGCTCCTATGATTGATATGTAATTTTTGAATGTATGTTTAAAATACTATTACTATTGATAATACAACTACTAGCACAACTAACACCTCTTGGGGTTTATATATTAGACCAGTTCTAAAGTTATTTCATGAACTAATTTTATCTTTAAGCAATACTGTGAGGAAAGAGTAATCCTTCTCCCTATTTTCACATGAGATAACTGAGACAATCAGCAACTTGCCCAAAGTTAAACAGTGAAGATTTGAACTGAACTCTAGGCAGTGTGGCTCCAGGGCCTTTAACAACATCATACAGTCTCTTAATGTGCATCTCTCTGGGTTGAGGGGCATGGAGTGGCTGATCAGTATGTTTTGGATTAGAAACTAAGGGATACAGGTTAAAAATAAGGCTTTAGGTAATTAATTAGGGTTAGATAGGTTGAAATATCCATGGGGGAAAAAGTGGCTCTTCATTGTACTGAATCTACACAGACAGCAGACTTCTTCAGTTCAATCTAAATATAATAGCAAAATCATTTACAAGGCTCCTCTTTCTTTTCCCTCTCTTCCTCCCATACATTTAACAAATATTTAGTGAGTATTGACAATGTAAAAGAAACTGTACTGGACACTACACAGACCTGGTTACTGAGACATGAGATCAAATAATATTCAGTGGAAGCAAATTATAAAATTTGTTCCCAAATTTTGCACAATAATTTAAAAATCATCAATTGCATTATCGCAGCCTTTGTCACTTGGATTTTACTCCCTATTTTCTTCTTCATGTTCTCTCTTCTTTTAATATCTCTCTGCCTCTATCCATATTTTCATTACCTTCTTTGATTCTTTTTTCATCACTTTGCTCTGTGCTTTTTGCCTCTTGTTTCTCTCAGTTGCCTACATTATTATCTCCTAGCTAGTTACACCATATTCAATCCACTTTGGGAAGAAACTACTTTATTTTAAAATACTAAAATTCTTCTGAATTCATTTTCTCTTTTCATTCATTTTATTACTTTATTCCATCCACAAATGCAAGTTCATACCTTTATTCATTCTGCTCCTTATAAAAACTTCCTTACTAAACTCCTGCTTATAATTCTCCTAAATCCTCTGAGAATCCATCCATCTTCACCTTCACATTTTTCCTCTTTTCTAACACATCTAGTCTTGTCATTCTCTTACTCAAGTTCTTCAATTGTTCTCATGATCTACCAGATAAAATCCAAACTTCTTTAAAACATTTAAAAAATTTCTGCCTACTCATCTAATTTCATTTTTACCTTATCCCATAATTCCCCTTTGCATGCTATCCTCTAGCAGCACAGACATACTTGTGGTTTCCAGAACACATGATACTCTGCCATGCCTCTGTAACTTTCCATGTATCATTCCCCTGTTCCTTCTGCTGCTTTCCCCCCATTCATGTGGAAAACTCCTAATCATTCTTTGAGATTGTTCAAATGTAATCTCTGCTGTGAGGACTTCCAGTCTCTTTTAGGCAGACCTGGGACTCCTCCTCTGCTCTCTCCTATACTGTCCATCCCTCCAATGTTTGCAAGAATATTGCTATTAGTATTTGAAGGCAGGACTTGTGGTTTTCTATTTCTAACACCCATAGATTCTAACATAGAATCCAGCACACAGTAGCTTAATCATCTTTGTTCAATTAGCCTACTCTATGATTTAACCTACCATAATGATATAGTATAGCTCTTCTTTCTGCTTGATTATCAGTTTCTCAAACTAGACTCCTTAGAACACTAGCACTGCTACAAAAGAGTTGCATAGTATAAACAAAGTTAGGCTCCAGATAGTTACGTGAAATGTATGTTTGTTTTCATTCTAGGTATAAGAGAGAATTCCAAATCTTCTTTTTCCAAATAATACTTTTATTAAAAATTTTTTTATTGATATAGAAGATATGCATATTTTCGAGAGTACATGTGGTAATTTTTTAATACATTCATATAACTTGCACAGACCAAATCAGTATATTTGGGATATCCATCACCTTAAGTATTTATCTTTTCTTCCTGCTAGAAACATTTGAATTATTCTCTTCTATTTAGAAATATACAATAGGTTATTGTAAACTATAGTCACCCTACCAATCTATCAAATATTAGGTCTTATTTCTTAGATCAAACTGTCTATTCCTTTCATTTTAAATTTCGTAATGAAATTGCACTTGGTTGCACTTTTCTAAGTGCAACCAAGGACCATAAAAGAAGTAAATCAGCTAAAGCATCTAAAATGAGAAATTTGTTTGTTTTTGCCATGAAGGAACATCAACAAAAATACAAGGCATATATATATATATATATATATATATATATATATGACTAAAATGATAAAATAATTGCCTCCGAATTTATTTATTTCAAACTCAACTCTGCTTAACCTGGATTATTGCCAAAGAAAGAACAAGTTTTGCTCATTTGCCTTATTGCTTTTATTAAGACTAATAGATAGAGTGACGTTCTCTCTGTGATTTTAAACAGTTTGACTTAGAGAAAAATAACTGTAACAGTAAAGGTTTTGGGAAATCATCACTGAAAAACAGAGCATCAGTTGAGGTCCAATCAGGAATATAGAAACCATACTATGTAGCTAAGGGAATTTCATTTAGGGAAATGTTACTCAGGGGTTGGAGGGGGTCTCCAGATCAAAAAGGGAACACTAAGCTGACTCAGAGATATTAACTGTAGGAAATTGTTACTACTTTTAGAGCTAGGAGAACAAAGGGAAAAGTTGGGTTATCAGAACTCAGAAGCTCAGAGAAGGTATCCTTCTGAGCTGGCTCTTGGACCTTTGAGAAATAGGAATAGCCTGGCTGGGGCTGCTACCTTTGAGGGGTCATGATGAGTCTGGTTTTTGGAGTGTAGAAGTGGGAAGCTGAAACAAACTGCTAAAGACAAGGTGACAGGCTATTACTGCTGAGGTGATGCTGAAAGGAGCTAGAAGCAAAGTCCCTTCCTCTTACTTTTGCCTTCAACACTCCCTCTGTTGATAGAATCTATTGATAGAACCTACTAGGAAATCAGTTGGTAAAGAAGACATATAGTTTGCAGAGTCCTAGACCCAGCATTGCAAAACCAGTGTAGAACTATGGAGTGGAGAAAAAAATAGTTTGATAGCAATTATATCAAAAGTCTTAAGCAATGGTCACAGTAACTATCTCCCAGCTTAAAACCTCAACATTATCAATCATATACTCATGACCTTAACAAATTAATACACTTCTATTGAGTATGCCATTAGACATGCACCTGAGTATGCTATGTCACAATAATTATCATTTAATCATTAACTATTGAAGCTATATGGCAGACATTATTCTAGGTGCTTGTTTTTTAACAGTGAGAAAAATAGACATCTGCTTGCTTTTGTGGAACTTTCATTCTAGTGAAGGGAAATAGGACAATAAATAGAGACATAACACGTCACAGATGGCAAGTACAGTAGAGAAAATAAAGCAAGTTAAGGGGATAGGGATTGGGATCGAGGCAGCTCTTTCATATGGGATGGTCCTAGAAGGTTTCAATGATAAAGTGGAATTTTAGCCAAGACTCAAAGGAAATATGAGGGAGAAAGTAGTATGAATATATAGGGAAGATCTTTTCAGTAGGAAATAGTTACGATTGATAAACTTGAGTGTAGTGAAAATTTTGCAAGTAGGTGGACTTTTTTGTGGGTTTGAAGTTTGTCTTTAAGTATCTGCATACTTTAAAAAGTTCTCTTTTAGAAGACTGTGGTTCTAGCTGGGTAACATCAGCTTATTATCAAATATAGTACCAAGTTTAAACATTCCACAAAGCATTGCTCATCTCTTCCACTGAGGGAAAACTATGCTTCTTCACACAGCAGGTTATAAAAAATTTGCTGATGATAAGGAGAATTAGCTGAAGTATATATAATAATATCCTACCTCTCCTATAAAATATTTCCTTTGGTTTAGAGTCGGCTATGAAATTCTAATAATAGTCTCAAACCTTTCATTTAGATGATTTGAGTAAATGTAAAATGCCCAGCACTGTACATAATTACTTCTTTGTTAAGATGTCAACCTTTGTTTTTTAGTTAAGAGTTAATGAACCTTGATAATAGGCAAATAGTCTTTGAGGTGGAAAGTGGGATGGACACCATCAGTAATCTTAGCCCAAAACAATGAAGCCATTGTTGGCATTAGGATTATGTTGCTTTTTGTTCAGATAATTTTTTTCCTGGGAAAACACATGCATACTTCAGTATTCAGTAGAGTCAGAAATATTAATGTTAGCTATAATTATTACTTCAACCAATTTGTTACTAATAAATGCGAGCTTATCTATAGTTAGAAAACTAAAAATGGTATAAAACCCAGTAATATTCTCATGTTAAAGGTTTTTTAAAAATCAACAGTAATTGTGGTTCTTGAAAAAGATTAATTGTATATATATTGTATATATTAATTGTATATATAATATAAAATCTTTTTCTGTAGCCAGTAAAAATTTCCAACAGGAAAGTTTGGGGTGGGTTTGTCTAAAATTCATTCATCTGACAAGGTAGTTTAAGACTAGACAGTTTTAGAAAGTAGAAATTTACCTTGGTAAATTCGTTTTTAATTTAAGGAGTAATCTTGAGAGGTAAATGGTGTCCATTGAAAGGTAAGAACTTGGTTCTGGCAGGAAATCCCATTGCACATGGCTGGTAGTATTTGCAGAGCACTTAACCTCTGTGCCTAGGTTCTTCCACCTGTCAAGCAGGGATAATAGTAATTGCTACCTTTCCTGGGAAGTAAGCATGTGCTTTGACATCTCTGGTTCGAGATGCTATATCAACACAAATTATTATTATTAGAACATAATGCATTATGCACATAAAACAGTAGAATGGTGCTCTTTTAATGCTTACATAACATCTATAAATATTGTTCTTTCATGCTCTCTCTTCACTTTAGGTCAGAGAACATAATCATAGCATGGCACTAATCAATTTCACCATATATAGAGGAAATATATTTTTTAAAGCTTCATATCCTTTTGAGAAGCACTAAACTTCCCTTAGGGACTCTATAGCAATTGCACGATGGCCCCCATTATCAATCCTTTCCTACCTTTTAAAATGTGGGCTAAATTACTTTTTCTGGAGACTGGAAACCATCAGGGAAAGCCTGGATAATGAAATTGGCTAGTGATAATAAAATTTTGGTTGTTTAACATTTAACTGAGTCTCAACAACGTGTTAAAGTGCTATCTAAACAGATAATTAGCTAGTCCTTGCACAGTGGGCTCTAAATTTAGCAGTGAAATTAGGTTTAGGGAATGCGAACATACGAAAAGGAATTTTCTCAAGGGAAACGATGGTGTCAGCACAGCTGAGGAATGTCACAATAGCTACATTTCGTCAATTATGATCACCATCAGGGGATTTCCCTGAGCGATGCAGGACCAGGTTTATTCATAAGTGCATCTTGAGGATAAGTAATAGAAAGCCTTGGCTGCCGGAGACAAGCTTACATGGGACGACAGAGGCAGACAGGCACAGGGAGGGAGAAGATGAAGTGGGTAGAGGGAAAGAAGTAACTAGATTGAGAGATGGGAGTCAGGATGGGAGGTGGAAGTTAAGAAAGAAAAAAAAAAGAGGTGGGCAGCGGGTAGAATGACGTGTTGCCTTGGAGGTGAGTAAAACACTATAAGCTAGTGGGAGGAAGGTGGGAAGACCTTAGTGCTTGAAAGCCGAGGAAAAGCTTGGTCTTGGCCACAGGCAAGCATTAGTTTAGCTGCGACAGGCTCATCTCTGGGCAGCTGATCCTGGTTCAGCTCTCTTCTTATTGGAGTACATTTGTGGCTATGTGGTGGAGGTGGTGGGACCTACATGAAATTAACGGTGTCAGGCCTGAGGACTGGTGTCCTCCGCCTCCAATCCGCCCCCCCCATCCCGGACAGTCCCAACTGCCCACCCTTCCCCTTCCCCCGCAGAACGGCGAGTGGCTGTGGCTCCAAGGTCAAGCCACTGGAACTGTGCGTGGCGGATGGATGAAGAGGGCAGTCCCGTCAGCCATCTGGGGTCATGGTGGACCACAGACGCTGCTCCTCTTACGGGCAAATGTTTTATACTTCCCGAGGTTGCTCTCCTGCGATCAGTTCAAAGGAAAACAGGCAAGAAAATAAAACTACACGTGCAAACATGCAAATGAAACAAAATCAAAGAAAAGCATCAACGCACTCGAAGCCCTCCGCTGCGGGAATCCACGGCCTCCTGTTGCCAGTCGCCCGGCGCGGAAAGTGGACAGCCCGGCGGCCGGAGAGAAGAGCGAGAAAACAAACCTTCGGGGCCCCTCTCCTCGCCCAGCTCCGCCGACCCTTCCACCAAGCCGCCCTCCCAGAGAAAGAAGCAGGAGAAATGCCTGTGCAAACGTGCCTCGGCGAGCGGGGGCAAGCGGGGCTGGGAGGAAGGGGGAGACTCGGACAACACAGCTGTCCCGGGAGCAGGAAGGAGGAGAAGTCTCTCTCTCCTCAGTCTCCCGCGCCCCGGCGAGGAGGGAGACGGCTAGTCCAGCAGGCTGCGCCCAGCTTCCCAGACAGGAACCTTTAGCGAGGGCGACGGAAGGGCTGCCCCATCTTTCCCGCCCCTCCCAGCCCCTCCTCGTCCCGGTGCGGCCAGCCCGAGCGCGGGCGGCGAGCGGAGAGCGCCCGGCGCGACGGTCCCACAGCCCTCCGCCTCGGTCTGCGCGGGCCGCGGCGGACCCGCGAGGGGCGGAGTGGGCGAGACCATTGGAAACGCTGGGACGGGGGTAAACGAGGCAGGAATGAGGGGCGGGGCCGACTAACAGATTCCAGATTTTCCTGTCCTTTTTAAAGCTCTGTTTTGGGAGAAACCCTGTATCAAAGTGGATGAGGAGACTTCTTTTTTTTTTTTTGAAAGGGGAGGAGCGTGTGTAGGAGGGCGGGGGAGGAGACGCGGCTTGCACCCAAGGATCAGACGGGAGCTGGAGTTGCGCGGGGAGGGCGGGCGAGTCGTAGCGCCCGCTCTGAGGGTCGGTTTCCTCTCCCCCTCCCGCGTGGGGCGGGGTGGTGCGTTCCGAGTTCCCAGGAGTTCGAGGCGGGCGGGTGGAGGGGGGGAGGGGAGTGGCGGCGGCGGCGGGCGGCTCCCGCCTCAGCCTCGGCAGTGGCGTCGGCGACTGCAGAGTCGAGGCAGCCGCGAGCGCTCGGCTGAGTGTCAGCCGGCGGCGACGGCGCAAGAGCTGGGAGTTGCGGTCGCGCGCGCCGGACCTTCCGCCGCCGCCGCCGCGCCGCGGCCGCTGCTGCCGCCGCCCAGAGCCTGAGGCGCCGGGGCCGGGGGAGAAGGCGGGGCGGGCGGGCGAGCGGGCCGGGGGGAGAGTGGGGGATGGCGCGGACCCCGGGGCCGGCCCCGCTGTGTCCCGGAGGCAGCAAAGCACAACTTTCTTCTGCTTCTCCCCCCGGAGCCGGGCTCCTGCTGCCGCCCCCGACGCCACCGCCGCTGCTGCTGCTGCTCTTCCCTCTGCTGCTCTTCTCCCGGCTCTGTGGTAGGTGAACCTCGGCGGCGGGCGCGGGCTGAGGGCGGCGCGACCGGGTCGGCCGGGCCACTCTCGGGGCGGCGAGGCGGTTGTGTTCGGCGGTTGGCTGCGCGAGCGAGTGCCGCGGACTTTGGCTGGAAACTTTTCGTCGTGCCCGGGGCGAGGCCGGGGAAGGGCCGGGCCGGCGAGTGCGGCGCCCGCTGCCCGCTCCCCTCCCCCGCGGCTGCGCGGGTCGCCGCGCCGATGGCCAGGGGTCGGCGGTGGTGCTCAGTGCGCGGGGCGCCTTTGGGTTTGCTCCGGGGACTGCTACTTCCTCGCTCGTTTGCGGGGAAGCCGAGAGCATGGACTTCTGGACTGAGGTGAAGGTGCCGGGATGTCCGTTTGCCGCCTCCCTTTTTCCCTCGGTGAAATTTGAGCTGTGAGCCCGGAAACCCTATGGACCAGAGCCTGATGGATGGAATGAAGCCTTCGAGGCCACCCCTCATGGTCTTCTACCCGGGAGAAGGCACCATCTTAGCCCACCCTGCCGCAGCATCCCCTAGAGCCAGTTTTCTTCCGTCCCGCGGCCCCTTTCTGCCCTCGCAGCCTCTGGATCTCTGTGGATTGAGCGCCGTCGTTGCCTTCCATTTTTGGGACATCTCTTATTTTAGCAAACCCTATTTGTCGCCAAGGCCAAGATTTGCGTGTTAAATGCTTGATTGCATGGACTGTGCCTTGGCTGTTCTGATCAAAAGAGCCCCGCGCCTTTCCTCCCCATCCTTTTCTTCTCCCATGTAAGGTTACTGTTTTCCTGTCACATTTGGGAGCTAGTCTCTTTGTAAGTTCTGTTCCCAGGTATCGGAGACTAGAAGCCAACTTGTTAAGGATCCTGTAAAAAACACATCTGCCTTTCATGGGAGAGAACTGGACGTAAAGGATAATTAATGGAAGGCGGTGATTTGGGAAAATAAGGCCACCAGCCTTTGGAGATTAATTCTAAATGCCTTTGGGTAATATCAAAACGCCGAGGGACGTTTTTTGAGGGCTCTTGGTGAGGAAGGTGGAGGGATAAAGCTTAAGTTTGTTCAAAGGTTGGTTTTCAGTGTTTCATGAAACCTTAAATAGAAGTTTTTCCAATATTCATTAAAAGCAGAGATGTGTGCGAATTTCTTCGATAGTGTGACTTAGAAGAAAGAGAATCCTGAGTCAAGGTAGTTGGTTATGAGGGAGGCAAAGTTTTTATAATGAGATGGAGTCCCCCCTATAGGCTGAGAATTTCCACTACCAATTCACTATCATGTTTCTAGCACTGTGGTGATAAAGTTTATGATTTACACAGAGTATAGTGTTGATATGTGGCATATTATTTAATGTACACTGTTTCTATATTCCGAGTCCCCAAATATTTGGTTCTTAGTGCTATGCTTCTTTAGATTGATGCAAGATTCTGGATTTAATTTGTGCGCTGTCCTTTTCCATTAAGGAGGATTGAGGATGCTGCTTACAATTGGGTGAGAGGATAGTTGGAGGGGACGACTATCCTGGCTTAGTTTATGTTAAGGATTGAGAGAATATTTGTACCTCAGCAGAGGTAGATCTAGTTAGGCAAAGCCCTATGGATGACTGAAGCTAGGGAACATACACAGCTGATAAAGGAGAGAGAATTTACATAATTCATAGTGATTGTGACAATGAATTGTTGATTACTTTTTGAAGTAACACATTGGTTTTCACATGGACACAGGAAAAAGGAAAATCTCTTCACTAATATGTTATTGGAGGGACTTGATACTTTAGAGATTAGAAACTTAAGCAGTGTAGGCAAATGGACTGTGCGATTTAGAGCAGGTGTAAATTGAACTTTTTAGAGTTAACTCTGCTTGTAGTTGTAGAGATAGACACCAGTTTTGTGATACTGTGCACTGCTCATTTAAAGAGCTGCTTTTTTTGGCTTATAGTGTTATAACACCCTAATTTGTGAACCCTTATGACAAGTTTTTTCCATCATCCTTTATTTTAGAATTCAGTGTTTGAATAGGGCACAGTTGTTGTGACTTATGGATGCTTAATAGTATGGAAACAGAATTTTTTCAAGTAAGCTGTTGATTTAACAACTTGTTGATCTAATTACTGTTAATACAGTAATACTAACATCATAGTACTACTTGCAAGGTTTGGCTTGTACTTATGTTTGACCGAGTAGAGCCAGTTTTAGAGTTGAAAAGGTAAAAGCTTTAAAAAAAGTGACTTTATCTGGTGATTTGTTGATCAGATGCTTTACTTATTTTATCACATACAGATTTTTTTCTTTTTGCTGCTACTTTTGATATGTTGCTTATATTTAGCATGGCCTTAACTTTGTTTAACTTTATTATGCTAATTTTGACTGCTAAAAATATTCCTCACAACTGGTAGACCCGACACTCTGAAAGTTATAAAAACATTTATATCAGATTTATTGTTTTTCTTGGGTGCGGGGGTGAACATTATCTTATTTGGAGAACTGAACTCTTAAAATGAGAATTTTACAGGTTGAAAAACTGACACTTTGTTTTTAAGCCTAAGAAATTCCTAGGTATAAAGGTCAAGGGGACTAGGTTCATAACATCATCTGACTTGATAAAGACTCATTTATTTAATTCTGAAATTACATGCTTTTTACGATGGCAATAATCAATTCACAAATGATCAGATTTACCTCACTTTTTCTTCCCACATTTTTCTTGGGAAGTAGAGAATATCAGCAGGGATATGGCATTGACAAATGAGGAGATAGACTATTTGACCTTTGTAAGGTCCCATTTGACTCTGAGATTTTATGCCTCTTTCCATTTTCAGCAATGCTTTATCTTAAGATGGGTGTTTATTAGAAGATAGAAAAGAAGATCTAATATGATATGGAACCTTTAAAAGCACTTTGAACACTTTCTATGTACTTAATAGCCACTTGGGGCATAACACATGACTAAGACAGATTCTTGGCTTCAAGGTGCTTACAAGTTTGTAATAGACATAAAGGAAAGATGATTATAGAACAGTTTGGTATTTATGATAGAGATATGCATGAGGTACTATGGATTGCCTGGAAGGTGGATACCTAACCCATTTGGTAAAGACATGAATGTTAAAATTAGGGAAAAAATCAATCACTTTTAAAAATCACTTGAGTCAGATCTTATTGAAATGTCCCCTCCCTTTATCTCTCCAGAAGGTTATTCTTCAGTTGCTAAAGAGGCAGTTTGATTCTGAAAAAAGAGTGCCACTTACTAGTTGTGAATCACTGGCAGGTTATTTAACTTTGCAAACTTCAAGTTTCTCATCTTTTAAGAAAACAGATAACATTATCACCTTGCTGACTGAGTTCTTGTAAGGATTAAATGAAAGAGTAAAATGAAACACTTAGAGGGCATGGAATATAGTAATAATTGTTAGCATTTATTATATTGCACAGCATAAACCAACCAGGTTGGTATTGGTGATTCTTAAATTCTACACTGATGTCCTGAATAATTGAATTTTCAAGTTAATTTACTTGCTGTATTTGCACTTTACATCTTTATATTGAGTATATAGCCCAGTGACTCTAAATGTTTGTTTAGTTTACTTCAAAAAAATATACAGATGACCAAATTTCAGCATATTCAGTATTTTTAGAATACAGCTGAACTAACTCAACTGTGTAATTGTATGGAGCCTAGTTGACTCTTCCCTTAATGATGTCCAATGCATTTTAAGATTTGGTTATTCCATAAGGTCACCTAGAATATTAGTGATTGTATTGAAAATGGGAGTTGGAAAAGGGAGACACAGCTTGGAGTTTATCAACTTACTGATAGTATCATGTTGAGGCCTATACTATATAGTACGTATGAATCTGCCTACATGAATCTTTGTGCATCCTAAACAGATATTACTGGAAAGTAAACCAAAGTTAGACACAACCTAAAAAGATCCAATCTTCCTTACTTGAAGTTAGCTACAGCATCAGAAATAGGAATTGTAAGAGCTGGGCAATTGTGTCTGTATTATATATTTACTGTCCTTCCTTGTTTATGTCACACTTAAATATATTTGTGTGTTTACAACTTAGTGACTCAGCAACTCTGATGTAGGTTTTGTTTCTGTATAGTTAAGGAATAAAACTTCCGGGTCATTGCCAATTATTTGAAAATTTTTGAAGAGAAGCTGGCTGTGATATCCTTAAGAAAATAATATTTTAACATTCTGTAATTTACTCATTAAATTAGTAAGTAAATAATAATATATTGCTGTGACATTCTGAAATCTGTTAAAGTCTTCATAAAAATTGATAAGCACTATATGACTTGCAAAAGATGAGACATTTAGTTAATAATTACTGTTAATACGTGAATGTAGGGTAAAATAAAATAACCCTTAAGTCAGTAATGGAATTTTAAAGATAATTTGCCAAGCACAGAGATGAAAAGTCTAAACACCATTAATCTGTCATACTTTGATTACCTTATATATTTTTGTCTAAAATTGTCTTTAAATTTTTGAACCCAAGATTTTAATTTTTATAATAGGTTTTCACATAGTTTAATCATTTATTTAAATAAAATTTGTTTTAAAACTTTATTAAGAATAGGCTTCAAGTTATTTTTCTGAAAGGCTCATTAATTATAATATAGCTCATCAATTTCAAATTTTGGTGAGGGCTGCCTTCTGTGAGTCTAGATATAGCCATATGCAGGTACTAATGTCATTTTTAAAAGACTATTGTATACTTAAATTGTAAATTTTACCTATTCTGTTTAATATAGCTTCCAGGAGATTGTTTTTCTTGTGAGACTGTTGACTGCCCACTATTCATTCTGCTAATTACGATGAGTAGGGTGGGCTTGCTACATAGTGAGTAGATATTCATAAATTGGAATTTAAGCCATGTATGAAAGCATATCAGCTCATGATTGGATTTAATAGCTAAGAATTGATAGTATACCTTTGAACACTTCAGAGTACTATTTTATAGGTTTAAATTAGTAAATTATACATATGACTCTATGGAT